TAAAAGTGCTTGACAAGTTCAATTAGAAGGTGTTCCACAAGTGAAAAGTAGGAATCTGAATGTATTTCGCAAATTAATACATATCTTTCTTATTCACTGGGGGGGAGGGGCGGAGGTAAGTCTGCTTAAATTCCTTCAAAACCAGTACTGCTTTTTTAAGCTGGAATATTTTCTGTTACTTTAGCCTTTGAATAATATATTATTTCTGTTTTCTCCAGAATGTTGTCTATTGCAGCCTCTCTTGTACAATACAGGAGGTTAAAATTATATCACTTATTATGAGATTGAAGCTGAACAAGGTGCTTTCTTATCAGACTTTTAAATACACACAAACTCACATCACATCTTCCCCACAACTGTCAACTGCCTTCACTCTCTACAGATACACATGGCTTGTACAAGCTGGTGTCTGCTTTCAGGATGCAACATGACTCTAATGTAATCCTCATCTTGGCTGCATCTAGACTGGCAATTGCTGGGGGAGACCAGAGGTTCAGGCCCTGCAGGACAGGATGGTGGGATACCCAGAAGACAGGTAATGAAGCTCAGGGGTCATTCAATACATCGTGACAGTCTCAAGGGGATCTCTGTGACAAAATCCATCACAGTAAGTATAGAAGTACTTTCTGAATCAGTAACTTCAAGGCTACAGTAGAATTCAAATTCTGTCAAGTACAGGCCTTAGAAAAAAATATAATGCTATTGACTCCTTCCTTTAAGTTTCTATAGAATTAGCAAACCTCTCTCGCATGATTTGTGAAGACAAGCTGATTCAAGCACAGGGAAACTGATATTTATCTACAGCATGTTTCTTTCTTTTTTTTTTTTTTTTTTTTGCCATGCTGTTGCTGCTGCTGCTAAAGAAACTCATGAATATGTATCTTTCATTTTGACATATTTGTAGTTTCCTGGTTACAGGAACATTTGTTGCAGCTGCATTCTGAGAAGAGTCTAAACTGAGGCACATTCTCTGTTAATAATATGTCAGGTTAGAAAAAAAAATCACTTGTCATGGTCTAGATTTTCTCACAGCTGCTGATGGTCAAAGTCAGCTGTGTGAATTCTGAAAGTCAGTTTGAAGGTTTTATGTGCTGAAGTCTGACCAGTGCCTAAAGACTTATGTGCTTGAGCACTAAAGGCCTGGAGTGCAGCTGCTGCCACCTCCTGTTGACCCAGCTGTCTTTGGGGATCCCAGTTGACTGACAATAAACTCGGGAGTCAGTTAGTAGCCTTTGAAGTCTGGACTCAAGATCCTTAGGCCTTGAGCCCAGACTCTAAAGACTATTGGCCAGCTTCCCTGATTATCCAAACATCTGATTATCCTGGGGTTTCTCATGATTTTTCAATAATTGGGGTTCTACTGAATATTTTCCTTAATTTTGAATGGCACTTAAGACATTGCTCAAATATAGGGTCAAATTCTGCTCCCTTTACACCCATGTAACTAGATATTAAGTTCACTGAGCTCAGTAGCGTTATTCTGGATTTAATGATATTACTAAGAGCAGATCTACTTACTCCATCATATTTCTTTTAAACAGCATGAAAATAGAGGTTAGATTGGAGATATTCACATAGGAATGTCAATAAAATGTCCATAGTTCTATGTCAACTTGGCAAGGTAGCAGCAATAGCTTAGGTTCTCTGATTGCGTCAATGCAACTCAGAGAACATATCCTTGGCTTGAGTTTATTTGTGCACTTAACTCAATCCAATTGGTTAAAAGGGCTGGTTCCTATAGAGTCCTTGTCACATTACTGGATTTTAAAGGGAGCAGCCAAATCATTGCTGCACCCATGCTGGGGTGTTTGCCCCCAAAGACTGTACAAAGGGGACCATGTGAGGTGTCAAATGAAAGCTTATGTTGTACTGATTCTGTATATGCTATTCATGTACTTGATGATTTCTGTATGTGGAGTATGAATATGGACTCTGGTCTGAAACTGGCTTGGACTGCCTGTTGTGAAGAATAATTGTTCAGTTTGACTATGCTAATTAGTGAGGCTCCAGGGACAATGGCTCTGAGGGTGCCCAATACACACCTGAGGAATGTGTCTGGGAAACTGCAAATTAGACAGGGCATAATGGCTGCCAGCATGTGAAACAGAGATAGGTCACTCAACCATGTGACCTGCTGTGGCCAGGAGGACTTCAGGAGAGTTATATAAGGCCACGAGGCAGACTCCATCTTGCCTTAAATTCTGCTACTGATCCCAGCTGTAGCCTAGCAAGGGACAGAGAGCCGGGAAGAATCGTTGGCCCGTCCTGACATAGGATGTACACCAGAGACTTTTAAGATAGCAGTTTATAACATCTCTGCTGAGAGCCTGCATCTAGAACTTGGTGATTTGATGCATGTAATGTATTCTCCTCTACAACCTTACTCCCATGCTTTTCTTTCTTTTATTAATGAACCTTTAGATTTTAGATGCTAAAGGACTGGCCCAGCGTGATCTTGTGGGTAAGATCCAAAGTGTAAATTTACTGGGTATTTGTGGCTGGTTCTTTAGGACCTGAAAGACCCATTTGAGATAGGTGAAATTGGATTCTATAACCCCTCACCTGTGTGAAGACCCGGGCTGATTGTGGCACAGGGAGAGCTGGGGTGTCAGAGGGGTTTTGCTCGTGAGGCTTCCTGCTGGACAAATTGGCAGCCAAAGCACTCGGTGTGACTGGTTTGTGGCCTATTTGAGATCGGTCTCCAGTCAGGGGCTGTAAGGAGCCCTGAGTTTGAGCAATTTGCCCTGAGCGGATGCCCTCAGTGGTACCCAGACCCGGCATGGTCCGTCACAGTCATCAAGTAATAATATATAACTTTCTGATTAAGGTGCTTTTGTGAAATAGGAATTTTTTATCTAGAGGGCAGTGGCTATATTAGTAGGCTCTCACTTCATCTCACTTAAGGTGCTTGATTGCACAAGGCTTCTCTTATTCCCTTGTCTGTAATGGAGATTCAATCTCTCCTCCCCATTATATATGTTAACTTAAAAAAAAACCACACAAGCTGTATAGAATCTTCATTGTGGCCAAAGGAATGAGGTCAGAGGGCTTGAAGGGCTACAAAACATTATTTAATATGTCTGTTGGAATAGTACCTTCAGGCCTTAATCATAAATAAGACCCCATTGTGGTAGGTACTGTTCAAACACAGATGCAGAAACAATCCATATCCCAAAGCATTTGTAATCTAAGAAAAATACTTGAAGGATTATGCAATAATTTGTCTGCATTTTAGAGGGTGAAAAAAGTATTTTTACTATAACAAAATGCCTTTTAGGATGCAGCTTGTATCTTTAGGTGTATTAAAGAGGCTGCAATTTCTAATTTTAAACATGGTTTGATATCATTTGCATTTGGAGCTGGGGATGAGATTCCCAGACAGAGTTGTGCTGATTCCGATCATGGTAGTGTTCTAAAAATAGTTGCCCTGATAGTACTGTTAGCTGCGAGCAGTGGCACAGGTTAGACTCCCCAAATATGAAAATGATTAGGCCTCATGGGTTCTGTTGAAATTAGGCCTCATGGGTGCAATTGCTCAGGGCAGCTGGCCTGTGCCAGCCTAGGAGAGAGTGTTTTTTAAAGGGCTGGCACAATAGGTTCTATCATGGGTAAATTTATTTAAGCCGGAAATCACATCCCCAGATCCAAGTGTTAGTGTAGCCTGAGTTATAAAACTGCAGCAGGAGAGGCAGTGGAGCTTTCTAGAAGTTGTTGCTTCCCTTCCTAAGGAGGAAGAGGCTTTGAGATCTGCAATCTCCTAAAGATCTATGTCTTGTTCTACTGTTCATCTTTAAATGTATGAGGATGACAGCCAGAGAGAGTGGTGTGGCTCACAAGTTGTGCTGAATTACTTTTTCTATAAGTTCTGCTCACCTGAGGAAGGGGAAAGGGAGATATTTCAGGGTAAAATGGCAGCAAGTCCCCTATTTAAACACAGGTCATTCTCAGTAGGACACAGCAGATGACAGAGATGCCTCCATCATCCTCCACTTTACTCCATACATCAGCAGCATTTTGTAAATTCTCATTGCATGGTGAAATGCCTCATGAGAACACTACTACTTATTCTTAGTGTACCACCATGTCAAGTAAATGGGCACCGAGGTCAATATAGACTTCTGCAATGGTTAGTAGGAGCAGTCTCAGAATGCCCTACAGGTGGCATTAGACTCTTCAATTCTTCTGTGTCCACGCTACTCCTGCACCCCAGGCTGAGTTTGGCTAATCATGTATCCATCCGGCATGCCTCTCTTCCCTCTCCAACCCATCTTTGCCTTACCACAAACCTCACCATTCCCCCACATTACAGGCAGAGAGAAACTAGCTATAGAGTCAAAGTCATCATTCTTTAATGTGGTACAGCACCTTACATGAGTGCAGGGGATGGGCACTATTTGCCCCACTGGTAAAATCTCTGCAAATCCTGAAAGCTATTTATAACTTCTATAAGGGTATGTCTACACTAGCCCCCTAGATCAATCTATAGAGGCTAATGAGGGTGACCGGAATTGCAAATCAAGCCTGGGATTTAAATATCCTGCGCTTGATTTGCATGTTCCCGGCTGGTCGCCATTTTAGAAATTGACTAGCCCGAAGTAACTGCCTGCGTCTACACGCAGCAGTGAAATGGGATTCCGATGTAAAGCCCTAACTCGAATTAGCTGGTATTCCTCCTGCAATGAGGTTTACCAGCTATTTTGAATTAGGGGCTTTAAATCGGAATCCCGTTTCACTTTTGCGCAAGAGAGCATCCACACTGCATGGACACTCTTACGAAAGAAAGCTCTGATGGCCATTCACAGAGCACCTGTGCTTTTCCGATAAGTGTTTCTTGCGCAAAAACCCCTCCAGAGCATCCACACCTGTTTTTTTGTGCCAAAGCCGTAGCACAGCTTGTGAGGAGAAGAATAACTCTGCCGGTAAAAGCCCTCTGTTCTGTCGATTTTCTTGCACAAAAATGCGCCTGAAGTGTGGACACTCCACCAGTTTTTGCCCCAAAACCTTGTAGTGTAGATTAAGTTCTTCTCTGTAGTCACCGGGAGTTTCCTGTGACTCCTGAAAACTATGCTCCTGTAAGGATGATATCAGAAAGGCTGTGTCTCTTTTGGCCAAAGATCCTGAATGGAATGGCTTTCAGCCACACTTCCTTCTTCTCTATTACTTCTTAGAGTTCATAGACTGTTTCATTTCTGTGGGTTAGGCTGACTGTGTGACATTCCCAAACCACAGTCCAGATGTACTTCAGAAGTAATTTTAAAAATGGCTACGTCTATACAGAAAAAAAAACATGTTAACTGAAAGAAACAGAATTGAAAAAAATCCAGTCTTAAACTCAATACAATCTAATCTAGGTACAATTTGTGCACGTGTCCTTCAGGTTACTAAGGCAGGTTCTAGTTGCACAGGTATGAACTCCCAACTCTACCCATTCTTCCAATTGCTTTCCCTTTGCCAACAAGCATCACTGCTTTCTTATCCAGGTTGAATCAAGCTGCTCACACTCACCTAGAAGACCGTTATCTTTGTTAGACACCAGAGACTAAATTCTGTCTTAGCATAGTATAAAGACAAAAAGCTAATCCCCGCAGAAAATGTCTGAAGCTCATTAGACCTGAGTCCTGGTGGACTCTCAAGGTCAGCAAATTCCTGAGATATGGGAGACCTTCAAATGTGAAAATTCTGCACTCTACCCTGGAGTACCCAATCAGAATTTGACCTTTATGTAGGAGAATCTGGCACTGATGAAGATGTAGACCTGACTGTCATCATGAAATTACTATTAGGGTGAATCTAGACTGGCAAGATTTTGCACAAAAGCAATCGTTTTTGCGCAAAAACTTTCCAGCTGTCTACACTGTCCGCCTGAATCTGCTCAAGAGCACTGACTTTGTAATGTACTTAATCAGTGCTTCTTGCGCAAATACTTTCACACTCCCGCTCGGGAAAAAGCCCTCTTGCACAAGAATACTTGCTCAAGAGGACCGGTGTAGACAGGGAAGAACTGTTTTGGGCAAAAAAGCCCCGATGGCTAAAATGGCGATCGGGGCTTTCTTGTGCAAAATCGCATCCAGGCTGGCCATGGATGCTTTTGCACAAAAGCACTTTTTGTGCAAAAGCATCAGTGCCAATCTAGACGCGCTTTTGCGGAAATACTTTTAACGGAAAATCTTTTTTCCATTAAAAGTATTTCCGCAAAATCATGCCAGTCTAGATGCAGCCCCACAGTGTAAAGGCATGTCTGCTCTTCTACCTTCCATTCAGATCAGACTACAGGGTATGACCAATATTGTGCACCCAAGTGCTGCATTGCAACTCCCCCATGTGGATACTGCCGGTCTGAATGAAAAAGTTCCTATGTTCCCTTAATGTGAGGCTGTTTGAAGAGGACTATGTTCATATGAAAGTTTTCAGACTCATAGTCACCTGGGTATCTAGTTCAGAATATTTACACTTCCATTAATCACAGATTCCCAGCAGGACCACCATAGTCCTTCATACTATTAATCTAAATACATTGAGAATTATGCTGTTTATTCTGTCTTGTCTGTGGAAGAACTGTGAACTGTACAAAATACAACACCTTCCTCTATTTTTTTCAGAAAAATGCTGACTGACAACCTGCAGTAGGTTGATAGGTGTGACATACATTTAATAAAAGAGATCTATAAATAAATGATTATTTTTGTAAGCAACTGAAGTGTATTTAGCTATGAACTTATGCCCTATTTGCACCGTATCTTTACACATCAGAGAAATCTGCAGCAATCTTTTAAGAATCCCGCCGTATGCAAACATCTATTTTGACAAACTAAATTATTGCAACCTACTCATCAGAGACATTCATGCTGTTGTCTCAAATGGAGACGATACTTTGATTGTTTCTTCATGCTGTCTTCCAGTCTAAAGAGACTTCCCATTAAGGAAGTATATGGGTGCTCTTTCTGTATGGAAAACATAACAGCAACCAACTGATTGCAAAGTAATTAATTGGTAAGGAAATCTCTGTGCTTTGTCTAATATAACAAATCTAAATTCAGGTAAATATACATGGCCAAGAAAACAAATAATTATGCATACGTTCTTCATAAACAAATGGAGACACAGACAAAAATGTAACTATTCAAACCACAGTATTCATGGGGGGAGGCCTAGAGCACTTTGATGGGGTTTCACCACATCAGTTCTCCCACAGAGCTATGATACAAATAAAAATCCATCCACAGCTTTCATGATTCTTTCTGTGCCCTGTAATTGCAGCCTTGGGATCACAAGACTCATGGAAGAGGCAGCAGCAAATATGTTAGTTAATCAGAGAACACATAGACAGCAATGAAGTGTTCTGTGATATATTCTGTCTAAATATTTTCAAATAAAACCATTTTAAGCTAGTAACCAGTCACTGCTAGATGATGCAATTTCCAGTAAAAGTGTGCCCTTACTCTAGTCAAATCTATTAAAGAAAACCCTACAGTGGTTTCGATTTAAAGTCTTGAAAGACAAGCACTGGTCCGTGTTTACAATTGAGAACTGTTGACTTTTGCAATCCACACCAAGGAGCTAAGCACCAGGAGGAGTTTCCCTGTATGTTATGTTATTGCCATCTAGTGGATGCATTCTTCAGAGCTTGGCTGTAACACCACACAATGAGAGTACTTTTGTTTTATTTTATCAAGCTGATAAAGACATATTAATGTACAGAGATTTTTCTAACCTTGTAATTTGGGAGAAAAGGCATGATTAGTCATTGCACAGATTTTCCCCCAGTGATCATATATTTATTTTGAATAATTGTAATATCTAATTCTGCAATCATCCAGAGCACAAGGGAAAGTTTTCTCTGAGACCTTTTTCTGTAGAAAGTTCAAAGTTGTGTCTGTTGTAATAGTCAAACATTAGTAATAGTCAAATAATCATTATTTACCTGACACTGTTTCATCGAATAAGTTTCAATGGGTTATCCAGACACTTTTGTTGCTATTTCTTCCAGTTCCACTAACAATGGTAAGCTTTCTGGAACAGAGGCTAGAAAATGTGAACATAAGAACACTAAGGGTGTGTCTACACAGCAGGGCTTAACTCTAAATAAGTGACAGAAATTGAGCTACATCAATTGCATAGCTTATTTCAAAATTGGGAGTGTCCACATAGCATTTAATTTGAAACTGAGCACTCTTCCTCTGACTTCCCTTACTCCTTGTGCAATGAGGGTCACAGGAATCAGAGTAAGAAGTCCTCCAGCTTGACAGTATTTCAACATTTTCTCAAAATAACTGCTTGCTGTGTAGACATGGACTACGTTATTTCAAAATAACACTAGTTATTTCAAACTAATGTTGCTATGTAGATGTATCCTAATTTAGGAAATTTAGGGTGCATCCACACAGCACCCTAAACTCAAAATAAGATACGCAATTTGTACTATGCAAATGTGTATCTTATTCCTATTCTATTTTGAAATGCCTTATTTTGAAATTTGGTGCATTTACATGGCACCAAATTTCAAAATATCACACTCTTTTGAGACATCCCTTAACCCTCATGGAACAAGGGTTACAGGGATGCCAACGTAGCGTACCCGTTATTTCAAAAAATATTTTACATTAATGGGTGGCTTGTTAAGACATGAGTTAACTATTTTGGGATACTTCTGGTATCCCAAATAGCTGCGCAGTGTAGACATACCCTTAGAAAACAAGGCGTGTCAGCAAAGCAACTGAACGAGCCAGGATTTGTGAAGCAGCAATTATATTTACAGGAGCAATATGCATGAAAGAGAGAGACAAACAGGTGAAGGTGCCTGATAACATAAAGGAGCAAAGTAAAAGGAATAACTACAGCCTAATACAAAAGCACGTGTCTCCAACTTCGTTTCTTTTATGCTTTGGGTTTCTGGTATTTCATAGTCTAATGTATAGCTGAAGGTAATTTAAAAGCCTGTGTTGATGGCCAAAAATCAAGTAAATCTATATAAGACAGTGTTCCTACCACGGAACTTCATAAAGGTATATTGAAAAACGTCACTCAGAACACTGCAGGGCCCCTTCTTTGAGGCAGTCATAGGAATTAAATAGTGCATGGATACTGGGGAGTAACCTGCCTCACCGCAGTCATCCATTCAGCTGGTTAAACAATACTGAGTTAGCAAATGTCCTTGGGAAATACTGCTATCTCCTCCTCAGCTCAAATCTAACTCTATGGCTCGTAGGGAAGTCCTGCCTTCCCCTGTAAGAGCATTTCACGTGAAGTCATTCACATTTCCTCTGAATGTTAACTTGGTTCATTTTAATACTCGTTGCTTCCTTCCTTTTGCCTGTTGTTGCTGTCTTCAGTATGGCAGTGAAACAAGGGGATGTACGCACTGCACACTCAGAGATTGTTCTGATAATCTTGTTCAGGAAAAAGCAAGTGGACTTTACATAAATTAGTTCATATTGAAAAACAATTATGTCTTCTACCTAATATTAATTTGATTCCCCTCCTTAAAATAGATGTTTTCTACTCAAACACAAAAACCTTCCCCACAAAATCAAGAGACTGGCAATTAGAATATTCACAGTAATCATAGCATCCCTACTTTCTTCAGATCATGCACTTTCAATGCAAGTCCACTTAACTCCTGGTAATGTTATTTTGCATATAAATATTAGAAAATAGGTGGCCTTATATACTGTAATATACACAAATTCAAATATTGTTCACCTTAACTCTTTGGAGTAGGCTTCTGAAAATCAAAAGGCTGTTACATACCATTGATCAGAAGCAGAAGTTTCTATTGATACCATTAAAATCTTTGTTTATCCACAGGACTTTTCTTCAAGATTCATCTTAGTAGCAGGAATTCAGAGAATTAATCCTGGGAAGAAACACCTACCTTTGTAGTTATCCATTTCAGATAACACACTGTTCAAATCTGGGTTAGTAAAATATCATTGAGAAATACATCTTGACTGTAGTTCCAGAAGTATAAGGAGAGATTTTTATTTAAAAATTGGTATCATACTAAGAACATAAGAATGGCCATGCTGGGTCAGAACAAAGGTCCATCTAGCCCAGTAGCCTGTTTTCCAAAAGTGGCCAGTGCCAGATGCCCCAGAGGGGCAGAACATGCACAAGGTCATGTGCTCCATTACTGAGCTGAGGGAGGAGCACATGGCCTCATGCTGTCTCAACAGCTGGTCATAGGTTGCCTTCCACTGCGCCGTCAGTGGCCTACTCCTGGGGCTCATTGTCAAGCCTCTGGACAAGGAACTGGAGGCGGGCCATCTGCTTCCACAGCAGGTCCTCGCGTGTTCTCATTCTCTGGCAGATCCCACAGAGTTGGGAGGATGGTGTGGGAAGTGGTGGAAAAACAACACTCACAGTTGGCCCGGCTGTGATGAAAAAGTTACGTGGGCAGTCATCTCAGGAGACTCTGTGCATGAAGCCTAGCCCTAATCTCTGAGCTGACACAAAAGGTCTCAGTTCAGACAATGGCAATTTGCTTTGAGCAACGCCGTCTGTTGCCTAGACAGTGGGCACTTTCCAGCTGGTCATAGTAGCAGCACATGTGCAGTGCCACCCTAGAGCATTCTCTCTACTCCCTGGCCTTATTGTAAGCCTGCCTGAATGCTTTAATTTTCATGCAGACCTAGTCAAGTGTCCATGTGTGTACCTTCTCAGTCACGTTGGTAACCATCCAACCACAGACATCGTCATTGTGCCTTCTGGTGCAGAGATCCAGGAGGTCTCCTTGCTGCAAATCTTGATGAAATTCAGGGTCTTCACACCAGTCCAGGATGGAACCAAGAGCAAAGTTTCAAGAGGGTGGGGGAGAGGGGGCAGAAGCCACGTCATCTTGGATGCAGTTTGATTTTATCGTGTTCCCCAGAGGGAGCTCACAAGCCATGTGTGAGAGGCATTCACGGCATGCAAGTACTTTTCCCTCAGTCCGTGATAATCCAGGGAACGGGATGAAAAGCAAGCCACATCCCAGAGCGCATGGCTGCTGCTCACACCTACCCCCCTGAAAACTCTGCCCTTGGCCAGTGCTCCTCTGTGTCCTTGGCCGGGGCATGCCAAGGGTGCTGCGGGAGTGCTGGCAGCCATGTGGGTTTCAGAGGGAGCACTGAGGTCGGCCATGGCTCTTGTACTGATGCAGTGTGGCACAGGGCTGGCAGAGGTCTGCATGTGTCACAAACTCTCTTCCTGCAGACTGTTGCTTTAAGGTGAGCAGTGAAGATGGCAGGTTGGCCAGAGTGTCTACAAGTACAGCTATGAGAGGCTTCTGAAGGCCAATTATTCTGAATTAGCAGCAGCTTAGCATACACACTCATGCTATTTTGAAATAACAGTTTATAAATAAGTGTTGTTCCTCACAGAAAGCAGGAGTTATTACTTCAAAATAACCAGCCCATTATTTCAAAATAATGGGCTTGGTAGAGTGGACACTCCACTTGTTATTTCAAAATAAGGGGAATTACCGTATTTCAAAATAGGATCCTATTGTAGACCAGGGCTAAGGTGCCACAAGACTACTCGTTCACAGAAAAAAATTCATTCAACTATATAATTCCTTTAAGCTAATTTTAGATTCATAATGTGGAGAAAGAGTCAGAGAGTAAGTCTATACTACCCCACTAGTTCGAACTAGCGGGGTAATGTAGGCATACCGCAATTGTAAATGAAGCCCGGGATTTCAATTTCCCGGGCTTCATTTGCATAAGCGGGGCGCTGCCATTTTTAAATCCCCGCTTGTTCGAACCCCGTGCCGCGCGGCTACACGCGGCACGAACTAGGTAGTTCAAACTAGGCTTCCTCGAGGAGTAACGGTAGGAAGCCTTGTTCGAACTACCTAGTTCATGCTGCGTGTAGCCGCGTGGCACGGGGTTCGAACGAGCGGGGATTTAAAAATGGCGGAGCCCCGTTTATGCAAATGAAGCCCGGGAAATTCAAATCCTGGGCTTCATTTGCAATTGTGGTATGCCTACATTACCCCGCTAGTTCGAACTAGCGGGGTAGTGTAGACATACCCTTAGAGTGTATTTTGGTTTTAATTTTTTCCCAATCATTCTTTTTTGCTTTGTTTTGTGTACTTATTTGCACGCATGACTTTTGTGTTTCTATGATGTTCCCTTAAAGTGCAATGTTATACCTCATAATAATCAGTCTTACCTTTCTTCCCTCTGAATAGTGATCACTTTGAAAGTAGAGATTTATACTGCAGAGTCTTCATTTAAACCTTATGTAAAGAAATAAAACCTTTATGTCCACACATTTTTGATCTCCTACCTTCATACATTTATAATGTGTTACATTTCCCAGCTTTCCCATATTTAATGTTTTACAGCCTGCTCTCCAGATTCAGGCAGTAAAAGATTGGAAGGCAGAATAAAACCAGAAAGCAGGGGCTACAGCTCTAAGTTTTAATAAGAAGTGGACCAGGACAGAAATTGCCAACCTGTTTAACTACACAAGTGTACCACTAATACCTCCCCTCCTCCTCTGGAAAATGAGTAACGTGACCCATCACTTCCAGTAAAATGGATGGTTCAATGGCAACTAAACTTGAGGAACTTACCCTAAAAATGAATCTCTATGGGTTGGGCAAAGTATTATTCCATTAGTCTTTGGCAATAATGCCATAGCAAGAAGAGGAATAAAGAAATGGAACCATAAGCAGGGCACATATAAGGAAAGAAATGAAAAAATAAAAGAAGTCCTGCATTTTATGTACACCACATCCTTACCATCCTAGTCCTGTTAAAGTCACGTGGCATGTTTCAGAGGTGATGGCCGAAACATATACACGTCTAACAGCTGCACAAATCTGACACTTGTGTTTCAGCTTGCAGCTAAAAGGAATTAGGAGAGTGGCTGTTCGCAAAAAAAAAAGGAGTTGTCAGATAGCTTATTTGAAACATTATGCCACTCATTATCACTTTACCAGGATGCAGGGGGTATGACAATGGTTGGAATAAGAGTTATACCTAATGGCTAGAGAAGTGCCATGCAGCAGAACCAGTGCTGTGGTCAGGAAACAAAAATCAGTGGTCCCAGCCACAAATGAGAATAGAATAGAACCAGAGTGGTAAGTGGGATGCAAGCCAGCAGTCAGAGCCAGAAGGTTCAGAGGGAGGTAGATACCTGGGCTGAATCTGGAAAAGGAGTGGGCTGGACTGAGAAATGGTACAAGAAGCAACTCTGGTGCTATGGTAGCAGACATTGAGCAGGTACTGTGCTGCTGTTGCTACTAGGCTTAATAGATTACCTTCTGGTTCTTCTGTCCAATCAGGAAGCATGGTAATGATGAGAGTTTATTGGACACAGCAAACCTCACTGAATTTCCATCTGACTGCACCAGGAGCCAAATGAGTTCCTGATTGGTTGTGTTGCTACTTCAAAACTCATGGGATATGTCTGTACTGTGGTAATGAAACCCATGGCACTAAGTCTCAGAGCCCAAACTTGGGCTTGTAGGACAAAGAAAAATGCAGTGTAGACATTTGAGCCTTGGCTGGAGCTCAGGCTCTGGGGCCATCCTCTTTTGTGGGGTCAGAGAGACTAGGCCCCAGCCTGAGCCTAAATGTTTATACTCTAGGGGTATGTCTAGACTACATGGCTCCTTGTGAAACGAGGCTTACAGGATCGGTCAGCAAAGGCTTCCCCAGCCGACAGATCCGCGTCTACACTGCCGCACTGTGCCGGATCAGCTGATCGTCCATACAGTGCAGTGACTGTTTATTTTAACGAAGGGGGGATTATTTAAATTCCCACTTCTTTGTCTATGCCGGGTAAACTAGTTTACATGGCTCCGTCGACGGAGCTATGTAGTCTAGACATACCCTAAATGTATAATTCCACATGCCAGGAGCCACAAGACTGAGTTACCTGATCTAGGACACCCACAGCCATGCTGATGATCTTGTTTCGGTGTAGAGCTTATGCCTATCTCTCTGGTGTTCTGGCAAGTTTTCATGGTGTTGAGTTCCCTCACTGCATTGTCATTACTAGGAAGCCATGAGAGCAAGCAGGAAGGAGGAGACTGTGCCACCATGGGAGAAAAGATCAAAAATTACAATGACAAAGTTGCTTTTTGTAGCTTGTGAACTGAAATTAAATCTTAGTACAATGTGTTTAGAAAATAAGAACTAAAAGGCTAGCATAATACTTAGCATTTCTGTAGAATCTTTAAAATTTTCAAACATTAGACTTCAAGGATTTTACTGTGGGGAAAACTGAGTTATGAAGATATGTAAAGTAACTTCCCCAAAGTCAGACAACATGTCAATGCTAGAATCAGGCATCCAGAATAGATCACGGGGCTTTCGGTGTCATTGTTACATCACTAATGCTGTGTGAAGAATCAGTCAGAATACAACATCCAAAACACAGGTCTATTTTAGTTAATCCCACTTCCCCAAAACAACAAGAGAAAATAAAATAACGAATATAAGTATTGAAATAATTCATTGACCAACATGCAGAAAGCACTGATAGAGCTATTTGCTTATGACTGCATTGTGTTTTGCAGTGTAGTATATGTAGACACACAATACTCAGTATACAGCCAAAAATACCAACACAACATGACCAGCTCAGAAGACTCTGACATTTTTTAAATAAAAACCACTGTTACACATTTTACTTCAGTTTTCCCCCTTCCCTCCCTGACTGCAGTCTGCAAGATGTAGAAAGATGGAATAGAAGGGATTTTATTTGGCGCTATGAACACAATACTGCACGGGTATCTCACAGAGCCAGGATAAAGGGCTGCTAAAGTGAAATAGAGAAATTAAGTCAGTAGCTTGTATGAGAAGGATTATTCATTTGCAGAAGCTAAAAAACTTTATATGGGGCCTTGATCTTGCAAGTTACTCCCCGTGAGCAGGCCTACACAGAGCTCCATTCACTTCAGTGGGGCCCTGCTGCGCAGAATAATTTGTTGGGCTAGGACATAGTATGTATTTGTCAAATGGTAAGCCTAAGTCAAAAAGGAATTAAAGGATGTAAGTGATAAGTTGATTTACTGCTTTATTTTTTAGTTTTAGCACGTACAAGTGCTTCATGCTCCCTGACTGGTGCCAGACAGCTATTATAGCTAGGTGGTAGCTAAATACTGCTTTCATCTTCTCTCATGTTTTTGTTGCCCTAATTATTTCCCCAAAATGTTAAGGTCAATCTCCAACCCTGTTCTTTTGACAGAGGAGGCCACTTGGTATCTAACCTTTGAAAGATGGAACTGATCAGTCCTACATATTGACGACAAGTGCACAGAAGTTAAATAATTTATTTTAAAAATAAAATATACAGTGAAAAGGTGCCTTACTTGGCAATTCAAGCAGATTCTAAACTGATACATTGCCTACTTTCTTTTATATTACTTAGTGAAGGGTACAGCAAGACAGAAAAATGCTTCAAATATAAAGGGGCAGCAGGCAATTGAGCAGAGAACTTAACCCAACACCTCCAAAGATGATTTTTCCTTCCCTGCCACTGGCTCTTCACCAGAACATCTAGCCATCAGTGTGAAGACTAGCATCCAATTTCCAAGGACTTGTTTGAGGTAGCTTACAAGACAGATTTCACTCTCAGTTACACAGGTATAAATCTACAGTAACTCTACTGACTGGTCTTTCGTCTCTTGAACTTTTATAAAAGCTCTTCTGAGGCTCACTCACCATGTTAACTTCTTTCAGACCCACAAGCTGCACCTATCATGCTTGACTTTAAAAAAAGAGGGGGACCATGGAGGCACAGAATCATGTTTAGAGTATGTGGCATCCTGTTTTGCACACATTTTCCCCTTGTGCTGCATTGCAAGTGTAGAAAACAATAAAAAGTTTTAAAGCTGTTTCCAGGCATGGAGTATTACCTGGCTTGCAAAAGAAGACTGTCTGCACAACAGCTTGACCCAGCTCAAGTGTAGCTTGGAACAAACTGACAGAGTAAGCAGTAGAGGCCAGAACTGAAAGGTTTCCTGTTCCAGCGGTGAAGCTCCAAATTCACTGCTGTATAGAGCAGCCTTGCAAAGATACAGGAGTTGCTGCCTGTGAAGAGTAGTGACGTGATGAGTTTGGGCATTTTTCATTGCAAGCTGTTCAGTGAATTAATCATGCATTAGCATTCCTCTCTCCTGAATAGAACTGCAAAAGAATGGTTTGCCTCTTGTTGGAGATTAGAACAGGGAGAACTTCCTTTTTGGAAGCTCTGCTGCTTTGGGGAGTCTGATGGGAAAATTGTCTTTGACCAATCCCATAACAGTCCAAGGAGACTGGAGCTTAGTGGCCTGTCTGTCCGGATGATTCCTGAGTGGTGCAAAGCTCTTCCAGGGATATGCAGAGAGCCAGCTGTTTGTCCTTGGGCAGTGATCTGTAAACCACAGCAAGGGTTTGATTTTTATTGTGCACTATTTTCCCAAAATCAGTTTCCAACAGCATTTCAGACTTCAGTTAAAACAACCCAAGAGGATATAAACTCACACAACGTGTTGTGCTAGCCCACCTAATGAAATCTCTGTCTCTTGCCACTTGGTAGGCTATTTAAGACATACCATTAGAAACAATAAGGGACTGGGAACCAATGAAGTGCTGTTTTAGTTTACAAATTTGGCCATGTTGCCCTTATTCATCAGTATTTTAATGTATTTTAATGTTAAATGTAAAAAATGTAACCAAATTCATCCCTCAAATTTGTACGTCTTACCTACAGTAGTCTCCTTAGTTACAAAATTAAATGTCAATTGAAAGTTCTGAATTAAGGATAAACATTTTTCAGACTATATCTACTAGCTGCAGATAAACAAACAAACAAACAAACAAAACCTGCCAGATTCTTAATGTAATCAAACAAAATTGTGTTTCTAAGCAGTATGTACACAAACAGTGAAAAGTAAAAAAATGCCTTTTTTTCATGAAAATGATCATACTCCTGAAAATGTGTACATCATCCAGAATGACACTGTTGTCTCAGAGCATCACTGTATGCACCATTGGTACCGCCTTGTTGCTGGCTATGGCAGACAGCTTTTTCCTCATTAAACATCCCCTGCTAAAGACTACTCCCTCTCTCCAGCAGCCTGCCTCATCCTGAGACTTGTCTCTCTGGCCAGGTCAGTTTAAATTGCTCTCTGGAGAACT